ATCTTTTAAGGGGGGCCATGAAACCACGGATGGGAGCATCTACTAATATGACACGAACCACTGGTCCGGGTATGATGGTAAACAAAAGAAAAGCATTTGGCACTGAAACTTATTCAACCAGGTAAATTATATTTGTACCTTTTGACTTTAATTCAGATGAAGTAATTGGCAGATGAAAGAAAAGGATAAAAGTGTGAAAATACAGAGAAAGGCATAAAGGGTCAGGGGTTTTTGTTTTAAAAAAATCAATGAAATTGAACCATTTCTCAGTGAAATGTATCTTGCACTGTGCAAGTAAAAAAATCTAATCTAATCCACATAAATGTGGAACTTGACTTAAAGTAGTCAAGTATTTTGGAAAGTCATTATTTTTTTCTCCCCATAACTTCAGAGCCTTACTGAAATTAAAACTATTTATGTTCCCAATGGTCAAACTAGATACCTCACAGGACAATTGGGATTATAGTGTAAGGATATTCCCTCAGCCAATTTTATTTTGCAAAGCAAGGAAGTAGCTGTGTTTCTGTTTTAAGTTCTAGGGGTGGCAAACTAAGCCAGATATTTTCTGTATTGTACTTGTCTATCAGTGTGTATACCAACATATACATATACCAAATATATTCCATTGATAATCACTAGCTATTCCCTAAACATAACTTTCTTAATTTTCACAGCAACTCAATATTAAAAGTGTAAGTGATCCTAATATCCCCAAAATTCCATGTAATGTTTTCTTTTGTCCTTGATTTCCATGTTATATGTGAATTTCTTCATGAGACATAAATGCTTGTAGGTAATTCAGCTAAGTTCATTGGTATAATGTTTTCCATTGAAAATGTGTGGCATAAAACATTTAGTCAACATATTAGCAGAATTCTGAAAAAGTTTCTTTTGGAGAGGTAGTTTACTTGGGTCAAAAATCCATATATCAATTCTTTATTACTGAAAAGAATATTTCAGAATATTTTAGAGATCATTGAAATATGTATTTCTTTACCTCTAATCTTTGTTGTGTTTATTATTTTGAATTTTTAATGCTTGACATAGAGCTGGATTTGACAGTGGAGACTGTTCATCTATCAATGGAGGAAGTTCAAAAAGCAATGAGGGAAATTCTCTTGCACAGTTACCAAAATTCTGTTATGAATGTGGTACCAAATATCCAATTGAATCTGCAAAATACTGCTGCGAATGTGGCGTTCGAAGAATGATTTTGTGAATACACCTATAATGTAAAATGAGAAATATATTTCTTGCTAAGGCTATATGAAAATCTCTGCTACACTTTTCCACCGGGACTTGCTCTAAGGCACCATACTAATGTTCTGGACAATTATTTTTTGTTGTGAAATAATATATATATAGATATATAAATACATTGTATATAAATTATTAGATACCTAAAACTGTGCCATTCAAGATGGTATACTTGAGATATTGTTGGAGAATATTTAATGGAGCAAAACTTTAAATCAAGCACTAAGGTTTTTTGTAATATACATATATTAATATTCTTAGTCATTTGTAGTTTTTGCCCTGAATCATTTGGTCTAAGGAACGTGTTCCAGTAGAAAATATGTTATACATGGAAATATTGATTGATATTTGGTTGATAACCTAGATGGTACTTTGTTGATTGACAGTCATAAATTTTATTATTTGTATACGTTTAATGTAAATTGATATTACTAGTTTCACATGTACTATTATAATTAACTAGTTGGCATTTTACCCTCTTATTTGTTCCAAAAAGCTATAACAAGTTTTTGTGCAGATATTTTTCTATGTGGAAAACTTCCCATGTGTTTCATACAAAAAGATTTGAGTTGCTACTAAATTAATTAAATTATCAAATATAATTTAATCATGTTCTGAGGATCAACTTCTTTTCCTAAAAAACAGGGCTGTGATCTGTTTTAAAAGCTTGGCCAATATGACCCAAATTAATTTCCCTCTTGGTTGTCTAATGTACCAACAAAAAAAATCATTGAATGTTTTATAATAATTATGACACACTAGTTTCAGAAAAATGATATCCCAATCATGATTTTTCTTCTTCCTATTACTTTGACTAAAGGGTGTGTTTACCATTATCATTTCTTACACAATCCTCTGAAACTAAAACAAAAAGAATTATATTAAACTCAAACTACAGTAGTATTAAGTTACTTTTTTTTTTAGTAAGCCTCCTTTCAACAGCAATTTTTTTTACCACAAAAAACATTTACTTGTGCCTTTCCCAGAATTAATGTTTTTTTTTAATTTAATATCGCTGTTTCTAAATCTTTAATTTTCTAAGTTTAGTAACTTAAGTAAAACAACAAGTCCATTTGCAATTTTTGACCTGAATGATGTAGGATTTATTTTTATTGCTATCTTTACTCTAGTCAAAACTTACTTGCTATGGCAGATGACAATTAAAAATGCATTTGAGCAAGATTTGTCCCCATTTTTCAGTATATTGACCAATAGCAAACTGCAATTTTTAACGAAAAGAATTAACAGATTAATTGGCATAGAATTGTATGTGTGTTAGAATTCTGTTTAAAAAGCATTCATAAGTGTAGTATTCCAGTTTTGTATTGTTACCTAATTTTATGTGTATTAGTGAAAATCAATCTTTAATATCTTAATGTAGATTAGCACTTTTTTTTCATTTAAAATACACTGGTATGGTGGAGCTTACATTACAAACATTCAGAATGCACTGTAGCTCTTCCTTGGTCTCTGTGGATTCTGCTCTGCCTTGCTTATTAACTGTTAGTGTAACTTAATATGCATCCTATTCACCAAAGAACCCATATATTTGTTGTATAAAAAAGTTTTCACATGTTCTTGCAGATGCTTTATTACATCTTATTATTGCATCTCTTTGATATGTTTTAATATAATGAATCTGGTCTTCGTAACAAAGCAATAGTCTAATTTTAACTAGTTACATGAGCATTATTCTGATTAGGTACTTTTTTCCCCCTAAATGTTCTTTAAGAACAAAAGCATTGTATAAATGCTTGTTCTATGTTACCTAGAATTTTGTTAATAAAACTTTCATTGTGTATATAATTGTTGTATCTTAAAGAATTTTTATCTCTCTATGGGTAGGAAAAGCTATTGGAAAATAAAATCATTAGGTGGGATTTCCTAAAAATCAAAAATATTAAAACATAATTATAAATCTTCATAAAAAAACTAATAGGAATAAAGATGTCCAAGGAAATGTGGAAATAACTCAGACTTTAGGGATTGTATTGGGAAATATTACACCTAGAATGAGCTGAAAGTGTGTTTAAGGAACTAAAAAAGTGAATGGGAAACAAGAGCAGTATCAAGTAACTCCTATATTAACTTACTTTTTGCTGGGAAGAAGATGGGAGTGAGGTGTCAGCCTAGAAACCAGGAGTATGGTTTCTGGGCGAGTTTTAACCCTGCCTTAGATATGAAAGCCAGCTGGGTGGCCTTGGGCCAATCACTCTCTCTCAACCCAACTCGCCTCACATGGTTGTTGTTATGAGGAAATTAGGAGGAAGAAGCAGTATTAAGGTACATTCTTGAGTTACTTGTAAAAATAATGAAGGTGGGTTATAAATAACTAATTAAATAAATGTGTGTCCCAATACGCAATTATCAAGAGTAGACTGGAGGAGCAGGATTCCATGTCAGGCTTGGTAGAAACATAGGAAATAACTGTTGGCCTTGAACATGTTCACATGTCGAATGCCAGAGGTTCCTTGTAAGGGTTATAAGAAATCTGCTAATGGTCTGACCAAACTTCTCATCTTTTAAGAAATCCTAGAAATGTGAAAAGAACAAGCAAACCAACATTCCTTTCTTAATTTTTTTAAATTATTTTTTTATATAATTTTTTTATTTTTCTAAACAAACAGACAAAACAATACATAAAAACATAAAACCATCTTTCAGTTACATACAGTGTGTCGAGTGGTTGCAATTCTTTTGTGCTACATGTCCATAGTCCTCCTTCACAAGTCACATAAATTCTCATATTTTCCATTTTATGTGTGTGTGTGTGTCTGTGTGTGTGTGTATGTATGTATGTATGGTATTCAGCTTTGTTCGGGTATTTTCCCGCATCATTATAGTTGTGCTTTTAAAGTTGTAGCAACATTTCGGCAGAATCTCATCTGCCATCATCAGGCTTCTGTATTGTGTTGAACGAACACAATACAGAAGCCTGATGATGGCAGATGAGATTCTGCCGAAACATTGCTACAACTTTAAAAGTACAACTATAATGATGTGGGAAA